GGTTAATATTTTGGACCAAATTGTCATACAATGCAAACCCCATCTCCAGAGTCGGCATTAAATACAATGGCTTTCCGTTTGAGACACCATTGAGTCTGACGTGTGTTTCCACAGGAATCACAAATATATACTTTGAGAGCGATATTTGAGCCCTTTTTATGCCATTAAAATAGGCTTTAATAGTGTCATCGCCTCCGGACTCAAACTCCCGAAGGAGTCCGACAGACATGTGTTTAATTATTTTCAAGTGAATCGTTTGGTTACAGAGTTTAGCCAATTCTTGCTGTAATTCTGAGGCAAATATGGACTCAATTCCGATCTCTCCCAAAGTCGTGTCCGCCGGAGTGGCCTTCGGGTCAATACCCAGAGATCCCCACAACTTATTGATGAATGATTTCGAGCCCTCTTTGGCCTCAGAGTCCAACTTTAACAGTGAGTTCTCCACTGTTTTTACCTGTTTTTAGGGATAAAATTACCGTTAATTTGATAACTCTGTTAATACCGTATTTGAAAATTATATGATTATTTAACTGATGTTGTAAACTGATGTTGGTGATCACATATTTTTAAATATGAAATATTTAACATTATTATATTTAACCTATTAATATTTTTTGTATGCACAATTAAAAGTATAATAAGTGAATTATTTTATACATACGTTAACTGTTATGACCGGGTATTTAACGGCCAATAGTTTGTCCAATACTTCACAACACGAATGGATCCGTTGTTTTTGAGTTGTTAAAAATGCGAACACTTGTGTCAACTCAGTCATCGCCCCGACGTCACCGACCGGACCAAACTGTATGGCCAGACCCGACAGGCCGTCCCTCTGTCTCTGTTCGCAAATACGCTCACAAATAGAGTTACCGTAAGTATAGTTCAGTTGTCCCTCAAAACCAAAACCCGAAGATATAGATGAAAAGACCACAAAATGGTCTAAATTATAGTCCAATTTTCGGGTCAATTGATCCAAATTCTTGAATATCTTTTCCTTTATGTCAACGGTTTTCATGAATGTCTCGAAAGACACTTCACTGAAGAGACAATTGTTTAACTCGAGGGCCAAATGAAAGACACCACCGATGGGTGCGCCCAACCCTTTGCACTCATCTAATAGTTGTTTTGTGCCCTCAATAGTGAAACAGTCGGCCGAAGAGACTATAACTTGATTTTCAAAATAGTTATGCTTTTTTCCGAAAGCTATCAAACGATTGACAATAAATTTTTGGTAATCATTTTTAATGCCTGAACGGGAGGTTAACACCAATCTCTTCGCCCCGTTATATACCATCCATTGACACAACTCTAACCCAAAGCCACCCAAACCTCCGGTTATTATATAAGTCTTATTGGGATTGAAATAAGTCTTTGTGCTAACAATCATACTATTGGCCGGTTTTATGCATTTCCACGACTTTCTGTTCGCCTCCTCTTCACGAATACGGATAACTATTTTCCCGATATGTTTACCGGTAGTCATGTATCGGAAGGCCTTCTCCGCGTCTGCGGCCGGAAATACCGTCGGATTCAACGGTTTTACGCAACCATTGCTGCAGTTCTGGTGAACCCATGTATAAAAGGCGTCCCAAATATACTGTCGGTCTAATACACTCTCGTCCAGTGAAACACATATAATACACAAATCCCTCAATAAGTTATACATCGGAAGCTTTTTATTTAAAAACATATCCATTTTTCCCAACTCCACAAACCGTCCGCCTGTGCCCACACACTCATAGCTGGCGTCCAACTTATCGCCGGCCAAAGAGTTGAGCACTACATCCACTCCCCGTCCGGCAGTCGATCGCATGACTTGACTCTTGAATTCAATACTTCTCGACGAGAATATCTTCTTCGCCGGTATTTTGTATGTATTTATGAGAAACTGTTTCTTCTCTTCGGTGCCGACCGTCGCGTATATATCGCACCCCAAGTGTTGGCACACATTAATAGCCGCCTGACCCACACCTCCCGCCGCCGAATGGATTAATACACTTTCGCCTATGATTTATAAATAAATACTAAAACATATACTAAACAAATGCAATTTAAACCTTGTCTGATGTGAGCCCTCTCTATGAGTCCATACCATACCGTGAAATACGGGCTCAAAATAGTGACCGCGTCTTCCATAGACCAGTTGTCGGGTATTGTTGTGAACAAATACGGGTCCACACGAGTACTGGTGGCCACGGAGTTGTTTATATTTATACCAATAACCCGTTCGCCGGTAATATTTATGAGAAACTGTTTCTTCTCTTCGGTGCCGACCGTCGCGTATATATCGCAGCCGTAGTGTTGACACACATTAATGGCCGCCTGACCCACACCTCCCGCCGCCGAATGAATTAATATACTCTCTCCTATTAATGTTAACCATTATAGAAATTAATATTAAAATACAATACAATTAAAAACAAAATTAAATGTTGACAAACCGCGTCTAATATGAGCCCTCTCTAACAATCCATACCATACAGTGAAATACGAGCTCAATATAGTGACCGCCTCTTCCATAGACCAGTTGTCGGGTATTGTTGTGAACAAATACGGGTCAACACGAGTACAGGCGGCCACACACTTGCCGTAATTAAAGCCCATAACCCATTCCCCAGTGTCCGCCCGAAGGCCCGCAAATTCGTGACCAATTTGTTGCTCATATATCTGTGAAAGCGCCGGAATTTTACCTAAAAACGTCATTTTATATATTGTATATTACATATACAATAAGTTACTACAAATTATTTATTATTTAAATGTCTGATAACTACCGGTGGCTATGAGAACGTCCCGGAAGATAATGCCAGAGCAGTAGATCTGGATTTTGACTGCTTTTCTCAATTTGTTTTTCATGTCATAATAGCTTTCAGTAATGGGAGCAGAGGTGGCGTCCGTCCACTCAAATGACGACAAGTCCCGACCCTTTCCTAAACCCAAGTAATAATCATTTGATTGGATTTTATCGAAATCTTTGCCAAAACTCTGGTATCGATAGGAACCGAGTCTTCCATCTCTGATCACATTTGACACCAAATCGTTGGCCAATATATCGGAGAATGGCTTTATATTGAAGTCTATGTCTGTATTTGTGGTGTTTTTATCGTAAATGAAAACATATCTGAAGTATTCTCCTCCCGGTTCCAGACGTAGACTCTTTGCTAAACCCATTACTCCGTTAATACACGAGTCGTTGGCAATGAGCCAAACCCGAGGACTGTCGGCAACCAATTCACTGGCCATCAGTAGTCTGTCCTTCAATACTGGAAACCATTGCTCGCATTTGCCGTTAAATTGGATAATATTTTGTTTGTCCGGAAGTATCGGTTCCGAGACTTTCCTGAAGAGCACAGCCTTTGAACCAATTGTATCGCATTTACTGCATATCACTCTTAATCCCATTTCATTGCCAAAAGTGATGAAATCATTGATTCGTTTCTCGAGATCTGAATCCGTGACTGAATTCCCAAACAATGAATTCAATGCGATCTCCGGTTCCGTCACTTTATATCGAAATACTGTTAATAGAAATCCATTGCTTTCAATGGCGTCCGACAAGTCTTGCATCAAATCTTGTAAATCCAATTCCCATAAATGGTGTGAATATCTTAAGACAATTAAATGGTTTAGTTTAAGGATTAAACTCTCTTTGATATCCCATTGAAAAACATTGGGTTTTAGATAATCAGGTATTAATTGTTTGGATTTAACAATCAGTTTGTAGTCGACGTCAGACCAGACAAACAGAGAGTAAACCAAAGTTTGTTTGATATTATTTGCCATCAAATCATTTGTGAGATTAATTTCCGTGACTTTCATCTGTTTTACGGGTAAAACATTTTCACCGATTATCTCAACCATAGCTCGGATTAAGCGCTCATTTTTTGTCACGAGATTTATTAAATCATAGCTTAAATCGTATTCACTATTGGATTGCATTTCATTGAATAACTTTTTAATCATGAATTTATCGTTTGGTTTAATGTTTTGTTTAGCAATCGTTTCGTGAATTTTATCCAAAATCTTAAACATAACGTTATTATCAATGTTTGCATTTCTATGGCTTTGAATCACTTCTTCGCTAATCTTTCTGTAATTGAAATCACATTTCATTTCTTTGAAACCCATTTCACGTATTTTCACAGCAATTGCTTTACAAACCTATTATGCAATGAAATATTATGTTAGAGAGAGAGAGAGAGAGAGAGAGAGAGAGAGAGAGAGAGAGAGAGAGAGATGTAATACAAACTTCAATATTATCNAGAGAGAGAGAGAGAGAGATGTAATACAAACTTCAATATTATCATTAAGTAGTTTCCTATGGCTGTCATCGATGGCCATATTGTCGTCGTTGGGGATAAACTCATGTCTCTCTAAAACCATATTGGGATCAGTTTTCCTAGTGATGGGAGCGGTGACCATATTATACACTTCAGCGCCGTATGTGAGCACACAATTCACACACGAGTCAAACACTACCGGCAATCGAGAGCTGAAGTGAGCAAACCGTTCGGACGCATTATTGGGTGCAAAATCGCTGAGAAAATTGTCGCCAAGTTTTTCGCCCCCGTCGGCCACCACTTCATCGGCCAAACGATTCCTCTTCAGCGCCTCGAAGAGTGTGTTCGGGTCGACACGTATGGCGTCGATCATCACCGGAACCACGAGTTTGCGGAAGGGAGACAAACAACCGGTCAGTTGTAGCAAACCGTCTAAAAATGTAACCATATTTCCCGTCCACTCGATGTCCGCCGACACCCGACGGAAGTCATTGGTCCGCATATTTGTCAACGACTGAAACCCTTTCGAGTACTCATAGCCCCGGATATGCAGCTCTTTCTTAATGGACTCCCTGTCCAACCGATACTCACACTCCGACACCACTGGCTGTCCATCACTGATGAGGTGCTGTTCGGTCAGCATATCGTCGGCGCCGCGACGGACAGTACCGACGGCACACATGTTGTCGTTTTCACATATCATATAATCGCCTAAACGTTATGTTTATGAACAAAAATAAGTTGAAATAATGTGTTAACAAAAACGAAATTCATCTAAAATACCCGTTTGTTGATAGTATTTGACGGTAAGTCTGGTCGGGACGTCATGTGTGAGAAATATCGCCCTCAAGAACTGGCACTTCGAGAAAACTACCGGAATTTTATCCCATGTCTGGCCATAAGCGGCGGCCATTTGACGCCACGCGAGCATCAGATAACCGACCGCTGGGAACAGGTTATTGCCGTCTATCACGTGATCGCACAGGTAGTCGTCTTTCTTGGCCGTCATGTCGATCACAACATTCATATCCCCGCAAACGAAGCGTAACTTATTTTGTGGCCATTTCGGGGTATAGACCGATAGGTCTCGGCTGTGATCCCACTTCAAGAGGGAACTAATCGATGGTGTGCTTCGAGGGACCGGCCATTGGATGGGTGGGTACAGGCGCTCTACCGATGGGTTGAAACCCAATTCGTAGAGTTTGGAGATTCCCGACAGAAACTGATCTATATTTTTAGTATTCGAGTTTTTGGATATCAACGAAATATATTGACAATTGTCCACCGATTCGGCCATTGTTTTCTTAAAGAGCGAGTGAGGGCTCAGCTCCAGTACAACAGCGCCGGTAGGTATGTGTTTGAGTCGGTCGTAAAATTGAACAGGGTTCATAAAGTTGTACACAAAATACTCGGCTGAAGCGTATCTCAAACGCACGTCTTCGGGCTCCGACACCATTACGGAAGTGGACAACCATTTCTTTGACCGGAGCCGAGGGTTAGGCATATATTTGTTAATGGCGTCGACCATAGGCTGTGCCGATGAGCGCAGGTATTCGCTATGGAATGGGATTTCACTGCTCTCTAACTGTCGCACAAAAACTCCCTTTTTATTCAACAAATCAATTGTTTCCTTCATTTCATTTGTCGGACCTTTAATTGAATTCAAAAATTATAAGGCATTGGTTTTAACAATTGATTGTCTCAACGCATACCTGATATGACTACAGACTCTTTAGCGTTATTACAAGCAATGAAAACCCCTTTCGGACAAGCATTGAGCGCCTCAGCCCTCGACAGCCCCACGACTGCCATCAAACCCCTCGGTATCTGTGGGTCACTCTCAGTGATGGCACCCCTGAAGTACGTGACAATCATCGCATCCCTTGTGGTGAGACACCCGTCAGCGTAAGCACAGGCTATCTCTC